TGAACGTTTGAGTTTAGACATATCAATTGGTCAAATTTTATTTAGATCAAATATATTTGGATAAGATTTAAATTAAACTCAAACCTACCCAAATTCAGATCCTGTAAAACAGTCATGGGTCTGGATAAGATCTAATTTTTAATGATTCAGATTCAAACCAAACCCTACCAAAACTCATGTATAAACAAAAAATTAAATATATATATCAGTAAATAATTTAATATATATTTAATAAAATATATGTATTAGTAAATTTATTAAATAATCTAATATTCTATATTTGGAACAAATCTTTTCAAGAAAAGGAGAAAAATAGAAGCAAACAAATGAAAGATTAAATATTGATGTAGATGAATCTTTGAAAATAAAGAGTTTTAGTTGATTGGTTCTTTTTTGAATTTATAATATTACATTCAACAACTTGAATGTTAATTTTACTATTTGAAAATAAACATTGGATGGTATCTATATTATTTTGAACTGCATATATTGTCAAAATATTTTTACTTTTGTTGTTCAAAAAAATATCTACGAATACCAATTGGATACTAAAATCCATTAGGGTTTAGATCTAAATCTAACTAAATTTAATGCATTTGGATCTAGATTAAAAGGATCCAAGCCACCCTGCCTCGTTGACATGCCTAGTTGAGTTCTTTATACAAAAAAAAAAATCATAATTATCTTGAGGGGTTAAATAGATAAGATTCGAAGACCACAAGTTTCATTTCGCTGTATCTCAAGATGAAATGATCATTTTAATTTTTTTTATATTATACTGCAACTTATTTATACGCTATCCATATTGTATTTACACATTAATATAATTCATTCACTTGTGAGGCCCTTCTACAAGTAGGAAGTCCCTTAGGTGCTGTTTAAATTCACTGTGCATAAATAATTTTTCTCTATCAAAAAGAAATTTGTAATTATTTTAAACCAAAAATAACTCTCATATTTTAACAAGTCTACCTCTTCCTTACCAGACTGTTTGAGAAAATGTCCATATTTTTCAATTTTATTTGAGTCCCACATAAATCCTATCCACTCTGTCCATTTGCCATCTCTAAGGAACAATTGTGAAGATGAGATTGCGGGAAAGAAAATTAGATGTCAACATAAATTGATTCAATTAGTAAGAAATAATTATTTACTAAGAAAAAGTTGTGTGTTCGCGACCGATGTGAGAGTCGTGTCGATGAGTGATTTATAAAAACATCTACAAGCTGCTTATGTTTTAGAAGTACGTTCTAATTCGTGGTAATGATCCAAACTAAACTTGTCTTACAGAAAAAAAAAAAAAAAAAGGCAGTAAATCACGTCAATGCAACTATTATCAAGCACACATATCAAGATAACGTGTTACGCGTCGTTGCGTGGAACAAGAAGGACTTCATACACTAGAACGACGCCGTATAGATTTCCAAATCCACGACCCCTTGCTTCGGTGACGGTCCCAGGGTAAAACTGTAAAAGAGGTGCCAGCAATCCCTACAACCCTTACTCCGAACTCATAGGCTAGACACGACGCCGTATTGATTTGTAAGTATTCCTTTCACGAAACTGGAATTTTGTTTTCCAATTACTGCTTTATAATTCTTCGCTTTTAGAAATAAGAACATAAAATTCAAGCACGTATGGAAATCTTAATTCAGTTCTGAGTTGATTAATCATTGCTTATTTTCTCGGAACATCTCTTTCCGAAAAGTAAATTTTCTCGGAAGGATTGTTAAATAGGTGATTATGGCTTCTGTTTTCACCTTTTCTGTCTTTTTGTTTCTTCCTATATTCATAGTTGCCCTAGATTTTCTGTTATCCCTAATTTGTAGTTTCGGGTAAACTCGGTTTCCACTTGATTCAGCATTTTTTTGCCCCCCTTTTGTTAGCCAACCTAACTTTATGACATAAACCAGCTGAAGCTTTTCTCTTTCTCTCTCTCTATTTTTTTTTTAATTTATTGAATGTTTCTTGATAGGATATAGGATAGTAGGACAAGAGCTCTGGGCAGATCATGGCAGCACCAAATGAGGATAATCTGTCTTCTCATTCTCAGGTAACTATGGTCCATATTGAATTCTACTTTTAGTATGATGTTGCTAATGGATGTAATTCTTCCCCCATCTCTTGATTCGTTTAGATTTAATGGAATGGTCTGACTTCCTCATCAACTCTTGTAATGGTATTGTTTTGACAACTATTTCCTTCCTTCCTGTGCTACATTTTCCCACCTTTTAAGTTATGACTAAGTGCTCGTTGATGACTTGATGGGGTTGTATGTATCCGTTTATGCATATTTGCTAATGAAGACGTCTAAATCCGAGCTTGCGCAATATACATGCATTTAGCTGGAAATGTTGTTTTATGCGAACGAGATCCCATTACTTGTTTGTCCTTGCTCTATTTGCTCTTAGTTTTCCAATTAAATGCCTAGATATGCAAGATTTAGGTGATATGATACTAATGGCTTGCTTGTTTTTGGTTGCATTGGCAGCTTTCATCTCAATTTTTTGGAGAACTTCTGGATTCTATTATTGTTGATGTTGCATCTGAATGTCACCGAATAGCAAGATTGGGACTTGATCGTAGTTTAGATGACGAGGAAGAAGAACTGAGGTTATCAGCACAGGCTCGAGCCAGGGTAGCAGACCCTAGTAGTAGTGGTGAAACGACTAGCAAATATGTGCTTGATATATTTGGACAAACACATCCTCCTGTAGCTAATGAAATATTTGAATGCATGAATTGTGGCCGATCAATTATGGCTGGACGTTTTGCTCCTCATCTGGAAAAGTGCATGGGAAAGGTAGTCCTTCAAGTTCTATTATGATCTCTTATCAAATCAATTCAAGCTAAATTCATTAATGTATTGATCTGGCCATCTTGTTTTGGTTGCCATATGTTTTCCAAGTTTTTATCTGTTTGACCTGGGTGGCTAGTTTTTAGTTTTCTATATTAATTCTTGAAATTATAGTCCATCTTAAAATGCACTTCATGGCTGCAGGGCAGAAAAGCACGTCTCAAGGCCACAAGAAGTAGCACTGCTGCACAGAACCGGTACTCACGAGGCAACCCTCTTTCCAACCACTCCCCTTCCTCAAATTCCAATAGCATGAGCCGATTATCAAATGGAACCTCCCATGTGGCTGGTTACGAGTACTCAAATGGTACCATAGAAGAGCCATGACATGTTATTTGAAGAAAAAGCATACCAGCTGCAGCAGTTCAAATCAATGGCAACCAATTTATTGAATTGTGATGTATCACTTTTGGCTTGCTTTAAATTCCCCTTCAACGGCACAGCCCATAGAGAGGAGACGCTCATCATCCCCTTCCCTCCCTCCCTACCTTCCTCTTTCCTCATTGCTCAGCTGATGCAGTAATATTTGTAGGCCTATAGCCGTTCCTCTTAGGAATTTGAGGAATACTTCAAGAAACGGCTGGTTTTTGTCTTTCGACAAACCCCCACTGTCTAATTAACATATGGCAAGCCACTATATTTGATTGGAATGAGATATAAGCTTCTACTTATAATGAGCATGTATTCCTCTCCTCGTAGCTGCTGCAGCTGATTTTGCTACTTCTAGCTTTCGGGTGCGTCTCAGGTAGCTCTAAGAGGCGCTTAATACAATCCTATACTGTGTGTTTAGTTGAAGTCTTGAAGCTTGATTTGTTCGCGTCGAAAACGCAAAAAAAGGCAAAAATTCCGTTGCCGGGACTCGAACCCGGGTCTTTCGGGTGAGAGCCGAATATCCTAACCATCTAGACTACAACGGATTGATGTGCAGTTGAAACACGATAATTTAATGGAAGATATAGTGACTTGTAAACGCCCGGGCATAAAAATTCAAAAGCGAATGTCCCGTTAAAAGTTTATCGCGGTAAACGAATGTCACATATTAACTTCTTGTTAAGAAAGATGGTTAACTATTATTTTTGTTTAGAGCTGTTAAACGAACCGCGATGTAAATGAGCTTGATTTTGCTATGCTAGCATAAGTTTGAGTTCGACTTGTTCGTTTATTTAAACAAGTCAAGTTTAAACATCAAATTAGGCTCATTTTCTAAATGAATCAAACTAAACCCAGGTAACAAATAGTTCATTTATGTTTATTTAGGCTCATTTATATATTTATTATTCAATTTAGTGTGTCTAATTTTTCTTAATAATTATGTAGAATTAGATTCTCTTGATTGTTTAGGATTTAGTCTTTAAAAAAAAAAATTTTGGAACCGAACATCTTACATTTTGAGAAATTTTTCTCAATTAATAGGTTAATTAAATTGGTTAATTTTTTTAATATTGTATAAGATATTCAAACACATTTTAATTTTCTCAAGCTCAAACTTGATTCATTTGTATCATACAGGTTGAAATTTTTTTAATAAGTCGAGTCTGAATACAATTTTTGACTTGTTGAATAATCTAGCCACACTCAAATTCGGCTTGACAACTTAATGAGCTGAGCTCAAAAGCCAAAAACTCGACTTGACGTGTTAACAACTCTACTTTTTGTTTGGTTTGTCAATGATATGTTACATATTTGTCATTGACTTTTACAGCTAATATTTACCAATGTAACACTGTTTCTAATGGAGTAACTTTCTTTTTCCTTGAAGGTTTCCTGGAACCAGACAGCGAGACGGCGGGTTAAAATTTATAAATTCACTTTGACAAAGGATGCCACCAAAAAATTGAGCAAAAGCGAAATAATGGATGTCCGATGTGCAGGGTCTGCTGTATAAATTTCTGACAGTCACACATAGCAACACCAAATTTGACAACTAGAGACTAGAATACAGTTGCATTCGACTGAAACCTTTTAGTCAAAACCGTCTACTATTGCATTTTCTCATTTGCTTGCGAAATCATCTCTTGAAATGTACTGCACAAGAAAAGGATAGAGAAAATCTGAAGGAGTAGATTTTCTCATTTACAGGGCACTTGAACATCTACCAGCCATGTACTTCACCTTTTACCTACATTGCAAGACAAAGCCAGAGGCTGAAATTCATGCATAATAGAAGAACGTAGAGATTAAAACATGATCATATTCCAAGATACTATTGAAATAAGTAGCAAAATTCTCACCAGAAACCCTACCAATCTGTAAACGAAATACACATGTTCTGGGAGATTCTAGTTTTCAAGTTCTGCACTAGTTTCAAAAGCCATCATAGGCAATGGTAAAAATGGAGCTTTAGTTCTAAAGTCACAAATTCGGCAGGGGATATACATTCTACCATGCCTGTATACCTTAAAAATCTCAAACACAGCCGAGCACTGGATGTTTCTTAAATTAATAGGACCAAATAAGAAGTTGTTTCAAGCACATAGCAAAATGTGCTGGGATCCACTGGCCTGTGATATCTGAAGCAGAGACACAAACAAGCATAAAAAAAAACTTCGAAAGCAAATGATGGAAATGTAATTAACTCTGAATTCTGAAACCGTAAATGGGATCCACAATCAAAATCTCTCAACTGAATTCTAGAAAGACGAGGACAACAGTTTGAGCCTGTACAATCCCATCTCCTGGCCCCCTTCACAACCAATCTCCGACCACCCAAGGAAAAGGGAGGCGGGGCGCCCGGGGGGGTGGTGGTGGGGGGAATAAAATGCTGAAAAGAGAAAATTCCTAATACTCATCTCTGAAAGTATGAAGAATGGAAGTCTTCGATTTGAATTCTTCTCCTACTTAAATTAGATAAACACAAATGCCTAACCTTCATAGATGGAAGCAAACAACTACTTCCTTGCTTATGCAGAGACTCCAAGATAATGGATCAATTCCTATTCTTTCAATTACACAAGAACACCACATAATTTTCTTGAACTAGGAAACAGGCAAACAGTACACATAGAACTTAAGATGATGCAGACATAGAATGCCAAAGCCAAGCACACCTTGTGAGTGATTATAGAAATAAATGTCTAATTTAAACTTCTTTATGAATTTGCTGACACATACCTTGATCAGGGCAATCAGATTGGTAATGACCTGGCCGTCCACAAGAAAAACATTTGCCCCTGAAAACCCTCTTTGTATTTCTATTGCCATTGCCATCGAACAACGAGTCATCTGCTTGAGCCATCAGTTCTTTCATCTGACCAGTATCTCTCACCCTCTTTCTTACATTATCCAGGCTCAAACCATTCTCCATATCCAAAGTCATGTTTATATTCAACAATGTTAGAGTGTCCCCCCATGACACTGGTAAACTGTCCACCAAAACAAGAGATTGCATCTCATTAGGGACGTTGACACCAGCTATTTCCAGCTTATGTGCCATCAAGTCCATCTTTAAAATGTGATCCATAATCAGTGTATCATCTGACATATGATTGTTCATATACTTCTTGAGCAGAACCAACTTTTGAGCAGTGGAAGGAGAATTAAAGAATGCTTCAAGAGAATCTAGAAGAGCTTTGGCAGTTGGATAGTCATGGAAGCTAAGGAAGACATCATCGTCCATTGCTCCAAGGATAAGGTGGCGACACGTGAAATCATCTGCATGCCACTTATCATAAAGCTGAGCATCAACCTCAGATGCAGCATCTGTAGGCTCAGAAGGTTTTAGGTCTTTGAGGACATATTCAACTTGGTTATCTTCAAGGACATCAAAAAGGTCTCTCTTCCATGTAGAAAATCTTGATCCCTTGCAGTTAATTTTTAAATAGGTCTTCAATTGAGGATATATTATTTCAGATAGAGTTGCAGATGCACCAGGGAATGTGAAAAGCTCTGAAGAAGAACTTTTCTGCTTGGATGAACCTGCATTGAGAGAGTGAGAATGCCAAATTTACAGCACCAAAAAATAAATAAATAAAACAACTTTAAGAGGTCATTGACTCCAAAATAGTTATATATCAGCAAAAAGAGGAAGGGCTAGGACTTCCAAAGGGGTGAAGACATCCACAATAACCTTACTATACAAGCTTAAGGAAGTTGGGTGATGCAGACAAGGAAATTCCCTGTTAACGAGCATGGACAAGTACAAAGAAAATTAAAGGGGGTTCATTTCGGCTGAATGTATCCAATTACAACAGGTTATCTAAATAATTTATTCCTTTATCTCTGGCTATATCAAGTGTATTCACAAGTTCAATTTTCAGGGAGTTAAACCATCTTCATCCAGTCCATCATATATAGGTTGGAAGCAATTAAGCACTTCAACTTTATCAAAAAAGCTACTAAAAGGACTAGATTAAGCAGCTCGACAAAGCCATATAAAAGTAAGAGAAACTCCACTAAATTGCACTGCATTCCGAGTCCGAAACCATTGCGCACTAAATCGACACCAAAGATAGAAATAGATTGCAAAGCCATTCGATTCATTCTCGAAAGAAATTTCATTTACATCATGAGTTAAGTAAGTTTTAAAACAAAATTGATAGTCATACTAAGATAAATTATATACCTTGCTCAGGGCAATCTGATTGGTGGTGCCCTCGTTTCCCACAATTATAACAACTACCCCTGAATTTGTTCTTTAACTTCTTCGCATTGTTTAACTTTTTCAACGATCTAACATCGCTAACCATCCTCAACCGCCGGCTCACACAATCAAAACTCAACTTTTCTGTGGAAGCTCCATCCAACCCGATTGCCAACCGTTCCACATCATCATCCCAATCATCCGGCAGGCTATTCAACAAAGCCACAGCCTGCATCTCATCAGGAATCTTGATCCCTGCATACTCGAGTTCTTTCGCCATAGCCCGCATCCTGAACACATGCTGATAAATGTGGGCGTCCGCGGCCATCCGGTGGTCCCTGTAGCGCCTTAGCAGGAGAATTCTGAAGGCTTTCAGCCTATTATCGAAGCGGTGGAGGAGGGCTTCCATGATGGATGAAGGGGTGGGGTAGTCGGAGAATTCAAGGAGGAGATCGTCGTCGAGAGTCCTGAGGATGAGAAACTTGGCGGCGTCGTTTTTGTCGTGCCATTTGGGGTCCTCCCTGGTTGGGCTGAGGAGGTGGGGGAGTTGATGGTCGGTGAGGACGAAGGCGAGTTTGAGCTTCCAAATGAGGAAGTTGTCCCCCGTGGAGGACAACTTTTGGGTAGCTTTGAGTTCGGGGTATACGACGTCGGAGAGGTTGCCCATGATTAAGATTTAAGTGTTACTCCGCCGCTCCCTCCGTTTGGGCTGTTTGAGGTTTTGAGGACGATGACGAGGGTTTTGGCGGTTTAAATTCTATTTTAAGGCTCTGTCCAAAAATCACGCCCTTTAACCTACAATGAAAAGGCATTAATTTCTCGCAAGCTTTGGAACCACGCCTCTATCGCCGAAGAGAAAACATGAAAGGTCGACTGGTAATTATTACTACTACTTAATAATAAGATCCGATTGCAATTCACCGCATTACTCCCTCTTAATGTTACCGCATTGATTCATACCAGTAGACACGTCTTTCTCGTTTTATTGCTCTCTCTCTCTCTCTCATATTTATGAACAGACGCCATCAATCATTTTCGATGAATAGGTAGTAGACAAGGAATTAAAATCACAAAATGTGTTTGTCTGCCCAACTATTTATCTCCTCTGAGATATGAAGAGTACTAGGAAGGCTTGATAATTTTCATACGGTTAAGAGAAAGAGAGAGGAAAGATGTCAAGTTAAGGTTTTAATAATGGTCCGTTATAATAGTTTTACTGTTTAAGAATTACTTCTACTATTTTATTTGGATTAGGAAATTTTTTGTGTCTTGTTTATTAATAGAAAGTGTTAAGACTTGTCCATCGGGCCGTCTAGTTTATAAATAAGATATAGGGAGTCATATTATTATTATTATCTCTTGAGAAGAGTGAGTTTTCGGAAAGTGAAATTTGATATCCTTCGTTATTATGATATGCGACTAATACATTATTGTTGGTATTATTTCTTTTCGCCGTCACATATTTTTGTTGTTATTATTCCTCCTCAGTCCTCGCCATGTGTATTGGTCACATATTATTATTGACATTATTCCTTCGCGCCGGTTTTATAAAATTTATCTCCAATAACTCTTTGGTAGAATTTTTTTGAGCTCAACAGGCCATGCTTGGATTGCTTGTTTCCGTCGAAAAATATTGTCGTTTTCCGTGATCACATTTCCCTATCACCTTTTTTCCTCACATATATCAAATCGCTACAGTAATTTTTCCATGAAAAATTACGGAAAGTGCAATCCAAACACTTTCGTTACCAAAGAAATCGAGGAGGTTCGCATTGCCTGTTAAATTGAAACTGTGTCAAAAGACCAGAAATCCTGTGCCCCTCGGTCCTGATTAAAGATACATTAGTTTGAGAATGTGAAATACTGGAATACTTCTGCGGGTATTTTGTCCTAATGCTCTCTGATCTGTGTCAAATCTGCTTATTTTCCTGAAATTAACAAGCCTTCCTCTTCTTTAATCGAGTCCAGGATGAAAGAGGCAAAGAGTTTCTCTGTTTAAGAGGCTGCATAGCTGTCCTCAGAAGAATATCCCTCGTCCCTATTTTCCTCTTTACCAATTCCAATTTTGCTTTCAACATTGTGTTCTCACTTCTTTGTGCTCGTGTATCTTGTTTAGCGAAGGACACATGGATCCGTACTAGGTATTCCGATCATCGGAATCTGGTTTCTGTTTTATCCAAATAATGATGGTACAAGTACGATCTAAGTGAATTAAAAGAAAAGCCTTGACAGTTCCAACCTTGGTTTACAGTAGTACATTAGCAAAAAGTATGCACAGAATGCAGCTGTCTTTAGCACAAGGCAAGCAGGCTCCCACCAGTTAAAGAACACATTGTAGGATGGCAAAATTCATGATCTCACAGAATAAGAAACAGTCTAGCAGATGATCCCTGGGAAATAGCATCTTACAAGAACCAAAAAGTGACATGATATGCTGATCGGATTTCAGACTGAAAAATGTTGTAGCAGCCTTCACTCCGTCTCTGGGAACTCAAGGATAGAAACCATCTCTCCAGTTAGTCAAATGATTCCCAGTCCTCAAAAACTTTCGGCGAATGATGGAAGGGTTTTGGTGCAGTAAGGCTTCCAAATCCAGAATGAAAGGTCTCCCATTTGGCAGTCACAAAAGAAGCATTGCCACAGTTGCTGAAGGGAATAGAATTTCTTGCCTTCAAATTATCTAGCTTGTCCACAAAACTTTGAACGCGATGCACCTGTAAGCAATTAAAATGCGATAAGCAACTTTCAGATGATAATAAAGATTCTCGTGGGAGAAATTATTTCGAGGCTGGATGAACTAAGCAAAAGTTAAATTTAACTCCCTACTATGGAAAATCATATTGTGTCCAAAGGAAACTTGGAAAGCAGCAGTAGTAAATAGCGACAACTCATCAGCACTGGAAGACATGCAAATTCAAAATCTAAGTGACATGTCCCCATAAATGACCATTAGAATCAAAGAAGCTAATTAACTTGATTAGTGAAACACAATTGCAGGCTGCGACTAACCTCAATCCGCCTCTGTTCTCTTGCTTTTCCATATGCCTCAATAGAATCCAGTTTAAGCAACTGAATCATCAGCAGTTCTGTCAAGACTACAAATTCCTTCTCCGCAATATCATTGCCACTTTGCACTGCTTTCTCCAGGTCAACAACCTAAAGCAGAACTCACAGAAATTCAGTTCTATAAATGAAAACAAAGGTTTGCTGCACAAAAATAAACACTGACCTTGTCAGAGAGTTTATCAACCTCTGCTCTAACATTGGCAACAGCTTCATATGCTTTGTTTGGATCCTGGTGTTTCCTCATCTCCTCAAATTTTCTTTCTTTGCTAGCCGGATCCTCCAGAAGTATTATTTTTGACGTGTCTTCTACGCCCGCTATATGCAGACATTCATCATCATCTTTCTCTTTTCCTCTAAACAACAGCCTCTGCACCATAGGCTCTAGGCCAGTTTTACTGGCAAGAATTCGTTTTAGATCCCCTTCAATTAGAGCACGTGTAGTTTTTAATCAATATAGAGATACAGAAATAAGAATTGCAAACATAATCACTTCCCCAAAAAACCCCAATCAACCAAAGGAAAGGAAGAAAAAAAAAGGACAGAATCTTGGGTTTCTTAATTTCAAGATCCCAGAGGAAAAAGTAAGGACAATTTCAGGGGGCAAAGAATCTAGTAAAATTTTTAATTTTGGCTAAAAACACCACACTTCAATACTGAAAATGAGATTTCAAATCATGAAGAACGCTCATGAAAGTCTGCTGAAGGAAGGAAGTAAGAATTTTCTCAAAATGTAAGTAAAGAAAGATGAGAAAAAATTGAACCGAGGGACGAAGCACGTATGCACGGGAACGCCACGCTAAAACTAAAAGGAAAGAACAGCTACACTAAAAATAACAAATGATGGTCAGGCGAAAACAGTACGTAATTACCGAAAGTTGACTGAGATGGAACAGTTACATCGTGGTGATAAGAATCGTGGGAAACCTTGATCTTGATCATTGGACCAGCAGAGCTTACAGGACCAGCTCCTCTCTTCTGAACAAGCAGACCACCAGGCCTCACCTCCCACTCGATCACAACCACTTCTTCATTGTTCGTCTTCCCATTCTCCCTCCTCAAGCTTCTACCTTTTGAAGATACTAATGATGATCTTTTCATACTCAAAATAAAATAGAGACGGTGGTATTTTACCAGAGCCCAGAATAATTCAAAGAAATTTAAAAAAAAATGTATAAAAGAAAAAAGGTGCGAGGTTACATTTGATTGAGATGACTGAGGAGCAGAGGTGAGTATAATGAGAGGAAGAAGAATTGAGTGACGACCATAAAAGAAAAAGACTAAAAGGCTGGGGAGGGGGTGAACGAACCACTTTGATTGGGACGCTGGAAAGTGACCTTTGAGCGGACATGCGCTTCGTCCTTGTTTACTTAAAGCTAGTGAAATTAAGGACAGGTGCCTTGAGGAGGCAAGCCCTCCTCTCACTATTATATACTTACTCCTAGTTACCAAAAATTATAGGACCATCATGTATCCTCTTTTTAAGTCCCTCACGGATTATTAAAAAAAAAAAAAAAAAAAAAGGTCCCTCCCTCCCAGTAGGGATGGCAACGGGGGCGTTGACTGCGGGGGGCTAATGGGGCGGGGGAGTGTACCCCCGCCCTGTCACCCGCTTTAAAAAAATAAATATATAAAATATATATGTATATAATTATATATATAATGTATAATTTAATTAGTTTAAAAACTTATGATAATGATATTATTAGTTATATGTATTATATGATGTCTATTAATATATATAATATAATTGATATTATTAATTATACTAATAATTATATATGTGTACTAATACAAATTATTAATTGGTTATACTAAATTTACTAATACATTTATACTAAATCCCTAATTACACTTAATACAATAACATTTTTTTCATAAAAAAAGCACAAGCACAAGCACAATAATGAATTAGTGATTGTATTTGTGTCAAAAGTGAAAACTTAACTACTTTAGTTATATTTATTTCATCATATTGGATTGTATTCAAATAATTTTTGTTTGATTGTTTTTATAAGTTTCAATTGTAAAATTACAATGAATAATAATTTGATGATGTGTTGATATTTTAGTACTTGATTATTTGCTAAAATTTAACCATAATAAAATTATATAACAAATTTTTATTAGCCTTGCGGGGGCACCCGTGTGGGAAGCGGGCGGGGTGGGGGACGGGGGATGGGGCAGGGCCAGGGGGAGTTTGTAGGCAGCGGGGCGGGGGGATGGGGGAGGGGTTCTCCGCCCCAACCCCGTCTCGTTGCCATCCCTACCTCTCAGGGTTGTAAGTGGGAATTCAAATTTCACCTGCAACAAAAAAAAAATTATAAGGATGATGCCAAAGTACCATTTGGTCCGGTAAGGTTTGTGTACCTATTAGTTCTTAACACAAGTCTCTTTAAATTCCCCCATCCCCTGTAATTTAGGATAAAATAGGTTGTACAATTGTTATCATCTTCGAAAAATATATATAATTTCTTTTTAAGATTTTTTTTACATATTTTGTTTGCGCAAAACAAAAAAGTCTAATTGTCTTTGCCAAGTTTTTCAGAGTACTTAATGTGGTATGATAAAATATGGATGCTTATAGTAGTATAACAAAAGTAACGATGATGATTATGACAACAATAAAAGAACCAAGATAGACAAATCTTGTTTAATAATCATGAAACAGCTTTGGGAGACTCCAACCAAATCTTGTTTCTGGACCGGTATATCCCTATGTCTAAGCAACTGATTACTTGAACAAACTTTTATTTTTG